GGCAGTTCGAATCCTTCATAACAGCCATAACAGATATGGAACTCGCTGAGGTGTCTGTTGCACTAGCAGGTTGCAGTCCGCAAGAACGTGCATCAGTCCTTGCAGATTGCCAAGCTGCCCGGCAACATGTTGTTTTTGCAGTGCAAGCCGAGCTGTCGTGCTGGGGGCTGACTCCCCGTGTATTTTGTGGGTTAAGCAGCTACAGTGAGGAGTCCGCAAGGAAGGCCGTTCTGTCAGGCTTTCGCCAATGGTGGGCAATGTCTGATGCTGACAAGGCCCGTGCACATCCGCTGACCAAGCGCTTCTGTGAGCAAGGGCCCCTGAACAGTGAGCTTCTAGACTTCCTGAATGGCCAAGATCGTTCGGAGCTTCCGCTTGTCATGCAAGAAGCAGGCCGTTTGTTGCTAGTGCCAGTGAATGAGATATCAGTGGAGCGACTTCATGCTCAAACTCGCAAAGAGCTCAAGCGAGGACCTGCCGCGGGTGCTGTTGCTATCAGTTGGGCTCAGCGATCAGGCAAGTTTTTACGCGATCTTGCTAGCCAGCCTGATGTATTAAAAGAAGTGGCTACAGGATGTGCTGATAATTATCACCCCCTAAGGTTGATGCCCACTTTGGGTTTAGGTGCCCACCCCAACATAGTTGATGCCATTGCTGCCACAACATTGGAAACCCGAACGGGGACTTTTGAGTTGCTGGGAAGCACCAAGGATTATGACAAGATATCAAAGCAAATTGTTTACCATTTGGACTTGCAGTCACAGTTCTTGCCTTCCAATCCTGCATTCAACAAGACATCCGGTCGTGGCTCTGGTGCAGAGGGGGCAGTGTCTTTGGAGGATTTGCGACAGCAGCTACTCTTGGAGAAGTTCCGTCAAGTGCATGCTCCAGGAACATTTTACACCATCCGCAAAGCCTATGCAGCTGATGTTTTGGTTGCTGATGAGTTGCCAGTTTTTCACGTGAACTCTCGGCCGCAGGAGTCTGCAACAGACCTTATGTTTCAGGCTGACGGCGACGCGGATGTTGATGTCGATTCAGCAGTGCCGGGCCCTGTCCAAAATCATGCAGAAGTGGCTCCGCCTGCCAGGGACAGGGATTTGTTCATAGCCTTTCAGGTCCTGAACATAAAGCCTTCGGCCAAGAAATATGCTCTCTGTGACACAGGCAAGGAATTGCAGGTCACAGACATCGCCGTGTCCCAACACCGTGTCTTGAACCTAGATACAGTTGCCAAAGAGTTGGAGGTTTCCATGGAACCCGGCTCAGATTCAAAGGCCTGGTCCCGAATGTTGACTGCCAGGGCCCTGAGTAGTTGCTATGCGTGGAGTGCAAAGACGGGTAGCCTTACAGCGGCTTTGCAGGAGAGTCTTGCTGCAGATGTTGCTTCAGAGGAGTTATTGCAACATATCCGCAGATGTGTTTCGATGCTTTACTTGGCCAGAGCCGTTCCTAATACAACAAACTATGTTCCGGCGAATACCTTGCAGGAATCCTTCAACGATGCATTGGATTTCCTTTTGTCGAAGGGTTGTGTTCTGAGATCAGATGGTCTGTGCCAGCTCACTTCGCGAGGCCTCGAGGCACTTCAGCTCACACAGGTTCTTGTGGAGCCAACAGCTCTGCTGTCGCTTGAGGCCGACACACCTGCTCGGAAACGTTCTGCATCAGCTTTGCTTCATTTCCTTGTGGAGAAGGGTTGGTCTCTTCAGCACGTCAACCCAAGACGGGCGGTAGAACCGCTCGGGCCGTTTTCTGAGGCCTCTCCTCCTTCCAGCAAAACCATTGTGATTAAGGAAACCCGAAAAACCATTGATCGAGAATACATGTTGGCTCTAGTTCTTGTCGAGGATTCTCGCCACCGCAAGAAATTGCTTGACATTGGCATCAACAGTATCGAGCATCTCATGCCGCTTCCTTTCTATGTCGCCCTGAACAATGCTGATGAGGCAGCGTTGCAGGCCATGTTGATGGAGGCGGATGCTGGTGATGATGAAGTTGATTTGGCACAGCGTTTTCAAAGGGTTCGACAAGGGTGGCGAAGGAAAGCAGGCTACAGGCTGGACACTTCTTTCAGATGGGGATGTGTGAGTTTCAAAGGCACGCGGCGCAGACTGGCAGATGGTACCTGGTCCTTAGGCTATGAGTGTGATTGCCCAAGGAGATCCCATTCTAAGGCTTCTGCAAGCGGTGGTCGCACACGTTGTACTTGGACTATACAGTACGCTGATGAAGATGAGCGGTTGGTGGTAATCCGTAAATTGAAATGGTGGGTGGCGCAGGCGTGGTCGTGCAATTCCAAACGAGCACACCAGGCCTTTCGAAACAGGATTCCGGATGAGTTGCCTAGCATGCAGCAGCTTGATGACAATACCCCACCAGAGGGGCGGCCGTTGACTGAGGATGAGGCTGACCAAGATGCTGAAGTCCCGCCTGCCAAGCGGGCTCGTACCAACACGGGGCGTGGCCGTGGCCGTGCTGCGGCTGCGGCTGTCAAAGCCAAACCTAAACCTAAGTCCAAGGCCCAGGGTCGCGGGCGTGGCCGGGGACGTGCTCAGGCTTCTGCTTCTACAGATGTGCCGGTGCCTCATGATGAAGCCGCTTCAGACCCAGAATCCGAGCCGGTGTCCTCTCGTCATAGCAGTAGGAATGACAGTGGCAGTGGCAGCAGCAGCAGCAGCAGCAGCAGTTCCAGTGATTCCAGTGCTTCATCCTCCGATTAGAGTGCTGTGTGTTCTGAATGGCCAGAGCAGTTCCTGTCCGGTTGCCAAAACAGCCTGCTTGAGCATCTTGGGATCGCCGCTGTTGCCGTCTTCAAGACCGGAAGATCCACATCTCAAGGCGGGGCTCCTTTTCTGTGTGTCGAAGAGCTCAAACTTGGCAAAATCACCTGCCAGGCGCTGGGGCCCTCTGCAAGAACGGCATCATCCCGAAGTTGGCTCCTCATTGACATATCGCCGCTAAAGGAAGTTGCTTTCTTTACCCTGTGGCTGATCAGGTCTCAGCTGCATCTCCTGCTCGAGGCCCGCTGCAGGCAGTGCCTTCACTTCACAGTGGGTCTTGCTGGGTCTCGGGGTTTAGGGTCTTGGCTGGTTGTTTGCGGTGTTGTGTGTGGAGGTGCTGCCAACTCAAGAGCCTCCTTGCACAATCATTCCGTGGAACCGCTGGAAGCTCACTTTGTGTTCAGTGCAAGTCTTGCTCATTTGGCATACTTATATGTGCTTCCTCTGCATCCTCTGAGTTGTGATCTCCGACTTCATCAATGCCAAGCAGTTCTTGATGCAAAAGACTTTGTGCTGGAGGCCAGCGAGATAATTAATTAGTTCCCATTTGACCGCGGCGATTTTCCCCGCTTCGACTGACAGGTGTGGATGGCCACGATGGTTTGTCCTTGACCTTGATGCCAGGGCCTTTCTGCTTGAGTCGCTTCAGCTGTGTTGTTGCACCCAGAAGCATGTTTCCTTGCCTTGCAGATGCACAACATTGGGGAGGGAGGGAGTCTTTTGTGTGGGGCGTTTTGCTTTTTTGTGGGGGGGGAGGGGGGGAGGGGGGTTGGGGTGGGGTTGGGGGGTGGGGGGACCAGGAAGCCGTTTGCACCTCCCACAAAAGGCCCGCACTGGTCTCTAGTAGAGATTTATTGGGGGCTTAATCTAGGAGGCGCAAAAGGGCTTGAAATGCACCTTTTCATGTCTTTTGCATTCTGCCCCCAACCAGGGTTTGGGGGAGGGCCTGGAAGACTACTTTAGAG